GGGGGGGGGGGGCGGTTAAATATAGATTTTTATATATCTATATCTATCTGGTGTTTCATTTTAATCTTGGAAAAATGTGGATTTGGGATTACTTTTTTAACCAAAAGTTGTACATTTTTTTTTTTTTAAATTGGAGAAAACCAGGATTCCTAGTGATGTTTTGTCCTTCCATTCTCTCTGATGCATTGCAGCCTGTAACCCCTACAATGAAATTGGACCCTCTGAATCTAACCCATGGCTGCTCAGACAGTGTAATTCTGGGTCCTGTTCCTTTTAATGTGGCACTTATCCAGTATCTTATCCTGTGCCTGTTTCTGCCAAATACAAGCAAGTTGGTATTGAGGTACTAAAGAGTATCCTGAGCAAACCAGAAATGCAAAGAGGTATTTGCTATGGGAGTGTGTGGGGCTAGCTGAAGAAGGGCGGCTGTGCCCAAAAGCCTGCAAAGAAAAACTTGCCAAGATTGCAAACAGCATGCCCGAAAGCTTGCAAAGAACAAATTTTTCAAGGATTCGGTTGATCTAATAAAAGAGATTGCGTTTATCCAAATAACCTCGGCGGGACTAGATGAGAAACTTCTTCTGTCCCGAATGCACCCCCACAGCCCGGCAAGTAGGAACATTAAGGACATAGTTATGGTCTTAGCTCAACACGTCTTTTTCCATCTCTGATATCTGAGATTCTTTCAGCAAGCTGGAATTACTTCCGGGCTGCGCATTTTTCTTAGAGGGAGATTATCACTGCTCCAGCTCGAATGCAGCTGAACAAAAGCCAAGCTCTTTCTCCCCCATCCCCGGCACCGTTCTGCCAGGTTTTACCCAAAGCCTTTGAAGTAAAACTGAGCAACTGGAGGTAGAATTGCAGTGTTTTTACACTGCCGGAAAGAGAGAACCTGTAGGTCCCTTCATCTTGCTGCTTCCAGTGATCACACCGAGTATGCGCAGGCCTGGGAGGGGATTTGCTGTGATCCTGACCTGCTGCCTGCCCTGCTTCCCTCCGCTATCCTCCTCCCTCTTTGGAAGGGGGGGAAGAAACTCTGGAAACCGGCTTGAAGCCAGCAGCTGGGAAGCTGCTTCCAGGAATCGATCCCAGGATCCTCATGGAGCCGCGCACCTCTTGACGCAGGCGGCATTGTTCTGGAGAGGGGAGTTTTGATGCAGGAAAGAGGCAGAGCCTGGCGGGCGTAAGTGCTGCGCCTGTGCTGTCCCAGGATGGGATTTCTTTTCAGCCCGGACCTGCTTTCAGCCCTGCCAGCCTGAGCAGGCCCAGTTGGCGACTGGCAGTCTCTGCCGAAATGCCATCCCTAAAAGGAAGATAATTGTCGCTTGTCATGCAAGGACTGTTCTGAGACTTTGGCTCTGGTTCAGCGAGATACTTAAACACTCGCTTAACTCTTCAGCGCAGTAATAATTCCATCGTTTGGGGGTTTCCCCCCCCAGTGAAACTATTTGTGCGCTTAAAATTAAGCATGTGCTTAAGAACCGTAATTAGCTAAAGGAAAACCCTAAAGTCAACAAGCTCGTGTATGGAAAGGCAAACCAGAACAGTGTTGCATAAGTTTGTATTTATTAAAGCTTAACTGCCTCTTGTTTGTCAGCCTCTACAGAAATGCAAGACAAGAAGCCCACCAAACAAAACCAGCAGGAAGAGGCAGCTTCATTTTTGCTTCTAATGTTTCACTTGGGTTTTTCCCTGTACCAGAATGATGGCAGAATGCTTTAGGTCAGGCCAGAGAGTGGGATTTGGGGGTTTTCTTTGATTTAAAAAAAAAATTGAAATTGGTTCATAAAAACATGCCTTTCCTACAGTTTCCCACAACTTGTTTTAATTTGGGGCCCCATTGTCCCATGCATCTGAAACTTTTGCAAAGTACATGGCAGGTGAAACCGAGATCCTTGTAAATAGTTATCTTGGGTATGCCACTGTGCCAGAAAACCCTGGACCGTGCGTGGCATGTATGTGGTTGGAAAAGGGAGTCTCCAGACCATCCTGTGCTTTAAAAAAAAAAAAAAAAAAAAAAAAA